TGTGTTTTGGGTAGAGCTCCCCGTACAAAGGAGAAACTGCCCGGCTTTTGTTAAGTTATGGATTCTGGTAAATGAGGCATAATGGTGTGGTATCGAGTTACGCGGTATTCACGGGTATTCCGCGGGTTCATGGGTAATCAACGAGTTGACAAAAGACCCCCGGTTTTAGGGGCATCACAATAGAGTACTTTAAAACCCCTAAATCATGGTTTTAATCAAATACCCATAACTAAAATCAAACTAGAGTTTTAAACCCACAACAATAAAATCATTTCTATGCATGTAGATTCATAATTCATGACATACTCAACACTAAATCAAGGTTTATAACAAATATTTTGCCATCAAAATTATAGTAAGTTTTAGCTAAAGAAAATAAATGAGATAGACAATGTAAATGCAAGATAGAGGAAAACCCCACCTAAGAATCAAAAATTCCAAGCCAAGTTCCTAGGATTCCCAAGCAAAACCCAAGCTTTAGAAATTGTCTTCTTCCTTTTTCTCTTTCCTTTTAACTTCTCATAGGGTTTTAAGAGGTATTGGGTGAGAGTGGAATGAAATAATGGGAGAAATGAGGCTGAAATTGGGGTTTTAAACTCAACAGTACCGAATTTTACTATCCATTGGGCAAAAAAATATATTTTTTTGTGAAATTACGGTTTTACCACTAAACATCTCCAATTTGATCCCTATGACTACCCTAAGGTTTTTCAACGTTCCGGATTCATTTTTAAAGTTATTTTAACTTAAAAATATTTATTTTTATAATTTATCTCAAAACTAAAGTCAATTTACACCCAAAATACTAAAATTACTATTTTTCCCTTCCGAACCACTATATGATCTAAATGCCTATTCCAAGGTTTTTGGACCATCTGAATTCAATGATAATGTTATTTTAACCTAAAAAAATTAATATATTTATTTAGTTACTCTTATTAACCTTAAACACCTCCAAAAATTAAATTTGATCCAAAAGTCAATACACATGTACCTTAAATTTATACGACTATTCCTTTAACAACGATTCAAAGCTTCTCTCATCATTTTAAAAATACTAAAAAGTTAATATCATTTATATTTTTATAACACATGGGATCTCACAGTTACATAGTGCCTTAGACATGGACAATGACTAGTTTTACAATAAAAATCCACTATAAACAATATAGGAAATGTGTAAAGAAGCTGGGAAGATACCTAAAAAAATGACAGATTATGTACACAAAAGGTATACAATAGATAAATAATTAGGTTTAGCAATAATTAAAATAAAAAATAATTATTTGACTCATAATTATTGTTCAGATAAATTATAAATGTAAGTTAACTTTTTTCAAAAAAATATTATTTAAATATATTTACGTGCAACGCATAATGTTCATTGCAAGTATTACAAAAGGCGAGTGATTGTGTGATTACATGATGACTTATGTGCCTGTTGATAATACTTATTTTAGTTAATATATTTTAAACAAAAAATAAAAAAATAAAATCGTCAAAAAGTAGAAAAGTGTTTAATTTCCATTTTCGCAAAAGTGATCTTGATGAATGATACACTTATATAAGTACATATGAAATTACAAGTTTGGACAAGATAAACAAAAACATAAAAATAAAAATGTAAAAAACAAACATTACTTAAAAATTCAAACCTTTCTCACAAACTTACTTAAAAAGTCAAACCTCTCTCATAAACTCTATTAAATGCTAGCCCAAACGTTACTTAAAAATTCAAACCTTTCACGCAAACTCTATTAAATGCTAGTCCACACTCTAGAGGGGAAAAAAGTATTTTTTACTCCATAACCACTACAAAATAATTCCTTGAACTCAATGATACTTGATGGCCAATTTTACACATTACCACGAATAAGACACAAATTTGAAAATAACGCAATTAGTTAAGAGAAATAATATATAGCTTGGGCTAGCATTACATATGAATTATGCATTTATTGATATAGTAAGAAGAAAATGTGCTTACTTTTTATTTTGATTTTCTTTCTTAATATAGTATTACTAAAATATTTTAGTAGTAAGTATTTTTTGTTAACATGAATATGACATGAACAAGACACGAAACCAAAATAAGACAACTCAAATATAATGCTAACAATTTGGTTGACAATCCTAATAATGAATATAGAGTTTATATCAAGTGACAAGTGTGCAAGTCTAATGTCCACATGGAATAACCTACCAATTTATAATCTTTCATGACTTATATAGAGAAATTTGTTTGAAATACATAAATGAGTGACCATAATGTATTTTAATTGTTGTTGACCACATCACATCCCATTCAACTATAAATTGCAATAGTTAGAACTCTATTTTTCAGCCTAAGAGACATGGATTTTGTAAAACCCGGGTAAATTTGAACTTTTTTCAAAAAAGGGTAAAATGGTAATTTGCCACTATAATGCGGGTTTAAAATCAGTATTTTTCTAAAGCTCGTATGACGCAACGGACCTCACTGTTGGATTCGTATCGCGGAATTGAGCTGCCACGTCAATTTTCATCGAATTTTGAGATAGTCGGATTCTACATGTTTTACGAGACAATTGGGTGACGAATGAACTTTTAAACGTCCCAAAAACGGAAGTTATAAATTTACTTATAATTGAGTGAAAGTTCAAATAAAATAAATTTGAACTAAAACTGAAATTTAATAAAGTCGTTTCAGCTTAAAAACGGACCCGAAAGTGATAAACGTGCGGGGCAATGTGGACGGCGCAATTAAAAAATATAAATAGGGGTTAATATCTAAAAAATCAGATATTTTCTCACCTTTGGCCTGCTGAGTTTAGGCGTTGAAGAGAGAAAAGGGAGGAAATTCATTTTCTACATTTCTTTCTCCGATCCAAGGAGTTCCATCGGTCGGAATTGCTTCAACCAAGAATTAAAGTTGGTCTATGCGTACGTACCAAGAACGAGAGATTTCACTGAAGATTCAAGGGGAGGATTTTGTGAAGTCAAGAGTTTTTGGAGCTAGGGAGGTGTCTTGAAGCTTCTAGTCTTCATCTTAAGCTCCAAGAGGTAGGGTTCCTCTTACTTTGGTGCATTTTCTTACCTAGAGTGTATTATGAATGGGGTAAGGGTTCGGAATAACCTAAGTCACTTGACTATGGTTAAGGACTAGAGGAAATGGGTATGGAATTGGCTTAGACCAAATCCTAGCAAAGTTTGGTATTGGGAAAGTACTTGTCCAATCCCTTAAAACTTGATTTCTTGAGCATGCTATATGTTTTATAGTGCTTGTATATGAAGTGTGTTGTTAACATGCTTATAAAATGTGTTTGAAGGAAATGTTAATATGTGCTAATTGATATATTACCATTTATGACAATTTATGGTAATTATATGTGTTCATTGAAATTGCCATGACATATGGGAGATATGTGGTTAAATGGCTCATGTGACATTCTTTATATATGAGTATGACGTTGATTACGCAATGGTTCATTACATTGCATATTGCATGAGAAAATACATCACATTCATGGGCTTAGGCATGGGTGTGGGTGTGCATGCATGATTTAATCAATACCACTCTTGGTGATTGATATGTGGACTCGGAGATGTTGGATCAAAGATCCCATGGAGTCGCATGTTGCATGAGAAAAAATTGTGTTGGGTATAACAATAAGGGCTAGACACTCTCTCGGGTGAAAAATTCGGCTACTTGGTTCATACATTCCCTTGTGGTGAAATTCTGAAAAAGTGTGATGGCGTACAGAGCCAGCTGTGTGATTCCAAAATCTGATACTCAACAAAGACACATGATTTTGTAATACAAAGCTTTCATTTGGTGAGAAACATCCATGAATGAAATGGTTTAATAAACATAAAGTTGGTATTTCAAAAATGATCATTAGATGTATTTCATCAATGATAAAGGTTTTACACTTGCATTGCATAGTGTGGTGAGAGCCGGTGAGGGCTCGGGGTGAGATGCGTGAGTGAATCTCATTTAATTCATGGCATGACATGGAAGATTCCAACATGAATCATGTATATTCTTGATTGGAATAATTATATGATTGTGAATGTTGTATATGAACATTGCATATGCACTTTGGTTGGGGAGTAGCCTCTGTAAGAAATATTCTACTGGGCGTTGACTCACCCTATACGGGAAACATTTCAGGTGCGGGGTTCGTACCAGGAGATGACTCGCATTCGGGGCCTCAACAATGAAGAAAAGCCGACTTGTGGCTTTTGTGGCATATTTTGTGTAATCTTTGTTGAAACAATGTTTAAACATGTATAAATTATGCAAATGCGTGTAATAGAACTTTTATGGATCGTGTATAATGTAGAAAATGTTATTATCCATGTTTGGAATGAGTTTGAAAAGGTTTTGGATGAATTGAAAATGAAAATCTGATGAAGCATAAAATTTTGGGCAAAACCTTCCGAAAGGTCACAACAACCTTCCGGAAGGTTATTGCAAATTTTCTGTCCAGTAGGTTAAACCTACTGGAAGGTCCACAAAATCTTCCAGAAGGTTTATGCAACCTTTCATCCAGTGGGCAAACCTTCCGGAAGGTAAGTAAACCCTTCCGGTAGAAATTAGTCTAGTAGGTAAAACCTACCGGAAGATCCATAAAACCTTATGGTAGAAATTTTCTAGTGAGCAAACCTTACGGAAGGTCTATAACAAAACCTTCTGAAAGGATTTTCAAAAATCTGAAATTTTAAGAATGCATTGCCATACTCTTGGGCTATGTGTTTTTTAGTTCTAATGACACAAATGGACCTTAAATGAGATACATTGGGGTATGTTGAACCTCGATGAGATTAAATGATAAAAGGAAAACACGAATCCTCGTGTGAGTTGTAATCTCGGTTACAGGGATGTGATAGACTTGATGTCGGGTTATGTGACAATCATGAGTATTTTCGCGGGTTGACGGGTGGTCAACGGGACCCCTGGTTGTAGGGGTGTCACAGATTTGGAAAGCAATCTTCTGAAAACCATATCCATGCTGAAGGCAGAAATTGAGAAGCAGGAGAAGGAGGACCGAGTGTGTGAGTTGGAATTTATTCTGAGTGAAGTAATGGTTAATAAGAAACTGGTCAAGGAGCTTAGCATGGATGATATGCAAGACTTGCGGGGGGTTGTAGATGACAAATTGAAAGAAATTTGCCAAGTGCATGGAGTTGTTAAGGATAACAACTTCGGAGAAGCTAGTGGGGAGAAGAATTAAAAGTAAAGTATGAGTAATTGTACTACCTTTATTAGCCAATAATAAAAGCCTTTGTGCTTTAACAATCTTATGTTTAGATATTTTACAAATTAAGTAAGAGTTTTTACTTTTTTAGGCTAAATATCATGAATGCCTTTGGATTTTGATGGTAATTTTATATTGACCCGTAATTTAATTTTTTCTTGTCACCCTTGAACTCTTAAAATAACACTAATCAACTTCTGTTGTCCAATTCTCTGTCAAAATATATGGTTAATAGACCATTGTTCCCAAAAGATTTTAAAAATTTCTCTATACCCCTTGAAGGATTGAAAATCTTACATTTTACCTGGAATTTCTTAATGCTAATAATCTCTCTCTTTTTACCTCAATTAAAGGTACAACATTTTTAATAAAATAGGGTGAATGAGACAAATTATTGACATTTAAAAAAATTCACAATTCCGTATATGAATCTACTCTTTGAAGGGGCAAAGTGGGGAAAGTGCAAGGTCGGCCCAAAGGGTAGGCAACTAAAATGTTCGGGGCCCCAAATAAATTTTTTGGATCCAGCTTCAATTAAGTCTAATTTATTTTCAAATTTCCTAATACAATTTTTTTACTAATGTTTAATAAAGTCTAATTTTACTTTAAGGGCCCCAAATGAAATTTTTAGACTCGAATTCAATTAAGTTCAATTTTATTCCAGAGGCCCAAATAAAACTTAGGCTTAATTAAGTCTTGTTTTATTTTTAAGGCATCAAATTAAATTTCACACCCATGTTCAACAAAATGTGCCTGTCAGTCCGATCATCCACTGGTATATATGACTTGTGACGCCCCTAAAATCAGGGGTCCCGTTGACCATCCGTCAACCCGCAGAAATACTTGTGAAAGTCGCGTGGCTCGACATCACGTCTGTCACATCGCTGTAACTGGGCTCATAACTTACACGTATCACCCGTGTTCCATTAATCATTTAATTCAATGGAGGTCCAAGGAGCCTCAATATACCTCATTTAATTTCAATTTGTATCATTGGAACCAAAGAAAACAAAAGTCCAAAATTATGACAAAATAATTTAAAAATTTCAGATTTTAGGAGATAGTATCGGTACTGTGTACCGGTACGGTTTGCCTTCTGGACAAATAGTACCGGTACACTTTTCCTTCTGGGCAGACTGTACCGGTACGCAGTACCGGTACACTTTGCCCAATTTTACCTTTTTTCACCTATTTTTCATTTCCAATTCATTTCAAACCATCTCATTTTCATTCTAAACATACTAAATCATGTTTTTCACATATAATCTAATATATACAACGTCTAACAACCCATTCCATACATTTACATGCCAAATGGGTTTTAAACAAAAGTTTTTACAAAAACTTGTTTTCAAAAGCCACAATCTGACTTTTTTTCATCGTTGATGCCCCGAATGAGTGCCATCCATCGGAGTGTAGTCCGTACCTGAAATATTTTCCCGTATAGGGTAAGCCAACGCCCAGTAGAAAATTTCTTACAAGGGCTACTCCCCACCTAAGTGCATATGCAATGTGTTATGCAACAAAATACAACCAAAATCCATTACAATGCAAGAATTATGTAATACATGTTGGAATTTACCATGAAACTTACCATATCATGCCATGAATGAAATGAGATTCACTCCCGCATTTTAACCCCGAGCCTTTCCCAGGCTCCTCAACACTTGTCATGCCAATGTGTATTTACACCGAACTTTTCTAGCTCCGGCTATCTACTTTCACCCCATGCTATGCAGTAAGTATCAAAATCGGGCTCTCCAAGCCCCCGCCATTTGTGTTACACACCCAATGGCTAACTAAAATTTCTGGGTCTTTCTTGGAGTGGGTATTTATGGACTTACACCAACGGTCACCCAACTGACACGGAATTCATGGACTTCCACCAACAGTTCCGCGTACACCGACACACTTTATGGACTCTTATACCAACGGAAGTGCGTATCCAAATATCGGGTCTCTCACCCGAGGGATAGTCTAGCCTTACTTGCTATCCCGACCCAAGTCTTTTTCATGTAACCGTGCGACTTAGTCGGATATTCAATCCAACTTTTCCGATCCCACCCATCATCCACCTACGTGGTGTTTGATGAAACTATGCACCACTTGTATCCACATTCATGCCTAAGCCCATGAATGCGATGTTATAATATGCCCAAGATGCAATGGATGCCAAATGAGCAAGTTAACCATACATCTACTTATTCCATGGCAATTCATATCGTAAGCATATAAATCTCACGAATCATTACAATGTCAATATATCAATGAGTACATATTAACATTTCTTTTCAACACATTTACTAAGCATGTTACACATCATCATGTTATAACTACTTAATCCACACATAAGCATTTTGGCAAATATCTTCAAGGCAACAATTCATGTTATCACACAAGAATTTCCACCTCATTCACAAAGCATAATATAAAACATATAACATGCTTATATAATCCCTTTTTCCATGGAATTACCAAACGAGTAATTTCCATATCACAATTTCAAGCTAGGAAATTATATTCCAACCCATTATATACTCATTTTCATACCCATTTCACCCATGTTATATGCATAAATGAGTGAAATACATATTCCCCTTTAACCCACACATTTTATATAACACCACAAGTGAGAAATGAACCAAAATAGGAGAACTCCTACCTCTTGAAGCGTAAAACGATGTTAGGAAGCTCCAAGAATCCAAACCAATCTTGAATCCTCACTTCCCCAAAATCTCATTTTTCAACCTTCGGTGAAACCCGTTGTTTTTGGTGTGGTCACGTAGCCCTTGGGCGAGGAGAACAACTTTTCCTCTTGGCCCTAGTGAATCCGAAGCCCGTGGAGTCATTGTTCGTAGAGAGAAGTGGAGGGCTCCTCCCTTTTTTCCTCACTTCCCCTCAACGTTAATGGCCGGCTGAAGAAATGGGGGAAATCTGATTTTTTTCCCCTATTTAAACTCTTAGAATGTTTGGCCCACAACGCGCCACACGACCTTTTTGTTTTCGGGTCCGTTTTTATCTCGAAACGATTTAATTTCGACCCGGTTCAAGTTCAAAATATTTTTATTTTAACTTGTCTTAACTTATTTTCTAAATTTTAAAATCTTATCAAAAATCTCATTTTTGGGTCACCCGAGACTCAACCGCCTGGTAAAACGTAAAAATTCTAATTATCTCGGAATTCGATAAAATTTGACGTGGCAACTAGGTTTCGCGAGATGAATCCAACGGTGAGGTCCATTTCATTATCTGAGATCTAAAACATTTCAGGTTTTCAACCCGTACTGTAGCGACAAAATTTCCGTTTTGCCCTTGTTTAAAAAAATTTAAATTTACCGGGTTTTACATTCTTTCCCCCCTTAAAAGAATTTCGTCCCCGAAATTCACACACACACATATACACTTAACTACATGCATATGGCACAATGACTTTATACATAAAATCATAAAACTTGTACTTCCATCCTCGAACAGGAACGAATAGTTGGTACGTATAGTGTCCTCATGCTCTCATGTCACCTCCTCAATGCCTTGGTGTTGCCATAGCACTTTCACTAGCCTCTCAGTCTTGCCTCGCAAAACCTGTTCCCGGCTATCCATGATATGTACCGGTCCCTCCCCGTTCGCATCAACAATCATCTCACCCCAATCCACTACATGTGTCAGACCTAAAGTATACTTTTAGAGTATAGAGACATGAGACACCGCTTGAATACCCGATAGATTTGACGGTAACGCCAACCGGTAAACAACTACCCCAACCCTCTCAAGTACCTCGAAGGGCCCGATATACCTCAGTGATAACTTTTTCGGCTTACCAAACCTGACCACTCCTCTTTTAGGCATCACCTTCAAGAAGACATGATCTCCCACCTCAAACTCTAGAGGTCGTCGCCGTCTGTCGGCATAGCTCTTCTGTCGGCTCTGAGCCGTAAGAAGACGCTTTCGTATCAAATTCACATTCTCTAAGGTGTCTCTAATCAAATTCAGACCTGTAGAGGGTCTCTCTCCCACCTCCGTCCAACATACCGTTGATCGACAAGACCTCCTATATAATGCCTCATAGGGAGCCATCTATATGCTCGCCTGATAACTGTTGTTGTAGGTGAACTCTACCAAGGGTAAGTGATCTTCCCAATTACCCTTGAGGTCTAGGATGCATGCCCGTAGCATGTCTTCTAATGTCTGGATAGTCCTTTCAGATTGACCGTCCATCTGGGGATGAAAGGCAGTGCTCATCATCAACTGTGTCCCCATGGCTCGCTGGAAACTCTCCTAAAATTGAGCAGTGAACTTGGGATCCCGATCCGATACTATGGACACGGGCACCCCATGTAATCGGATAATCTCTCATATGTACAACTTGCAGAATTCCTCCAGTGCGAAGGTCATCCGCATAGCCAGAAAATGTGCCGACTTGGTAAGTTGGTCCACTATCACCCACGCCGCGTCATGTCCCCGCGATGTTAGTGACAAGTGAGTCACAAAATTCATCGTGACATGCTCCCACTTCCACTCAGCTACCTCCAAAGGCTGGAGTAATCCCGCTGGTCTCTAGTGCTCAGTCTTAACCTGCTGACATGTGAGACATCGACTAACAAAGTTTTCAACATCTTTCTTCATCCCGCTCCAATAATACTGGCGACGAAGATCATGGTACATCTTTGTACCACCTAGATGTACAACAAATTGGGAAAAATGGAACTCCCTAAGAATCTCCTCTCTGAGCTCCGTCGACTACGAAACCATATTCTTCCCCCTATACCGAAGACTACCATCCGAGTGAATGGTCCAGCCCTAGTCACCAGAACCTGCCTGTACGCGGTCTTTGACGGATGATAACTCTGTATCCAGCTCCTGGGACTCAATCACCTTACTCAGTAGGGAGGGTGTAGCCACCAAACTCCCAAAAATGCCCTGAGTCTGACCCATGTATCATAGCCCGAACTGCCCCATAATCTAAGTATCTGCCACTC